ATTATTTTGTTTATTTGGTTTCTCTGTTTTTGTTTCTTGGTGAGTCTGGCAAAATGTTCATCATTCTTGTTTATCTTTTCAAAGAACCAGCTTTTTGTTTCATTGACCTTTTGTATTGTTTTTTGAGTCTCCTTGTCGTTTATTTCTGATGTGACCTTTACTAATTCCTTCCTCCTACTAGGTAGGTTTTTCTTTTTGTTTACTTTCTAGTTCTTTAAGTTGTAGGGTTAGAAAGTCAATTAGGAATTTTTCTCCTTTTTTAATCCTCACCCGAGGACATTTTTTCCATTTTTTATTCAGATAGAGTGGGAGGGAGAGGGAGGAAGAGAGAGAAACATCGACATGAAAGGGATATATCCAGTGGCTGCCACCCGCATGACCCAGCCAGGGCCGGGGACAAACTGCAGCTGAGGTACATGCTCTTAGCGGGAACAGAACTGGGGTCTCTATGGACCATAGGCCGACACTCTAACCACTGAGCCAAACCAGCCAGGGCTAATGAGGAATTTTTTTGTTTCTTGAGGTAGGCCTGTAGTGCTATGAACTTCCCACCTAGGACTGCTTTCACTGTTTCCCATAGATTTTGTGTTATTGTGTGTTAATTTTCATTTGTTTCCAGGAAGTTTTTAATTTCTTCCTGGATCTCGTTAGTAACCCATTTGTTGTTTAATAACATGCTATTTAGCCTCCAAGTGTTTGAATGTTTTTTGTGTATTTTTAGTGAAATTGAGTTCTAGTTTCATGCCACTGTGATCTGAAAAGATATTTTATATGATTTCAATTTTCTTGAATTTGTAGAGACCTGCTTTGTGTACTAACATGTGGTCTATCTACAAGAATGACCCATGTGCACTTCAGAAGAATGTATATTTTGCAGCTTTGGGGTGAAATGTTCTGTAAATATCAATTAAGTCCAACTGATCTAATTTGTCTTGTAAGGACTCTATGTTCTTATTAATTTTTTGTCTAGAAGATCTGTCCTGTGGTGTCAGTGGTGTGTTAAAGTCACCCACTATGATTGTGTTGCTATTGATCTCTCCCTTGAAGTCCTCCAGAAGTTTTTTAATATATTTTGGTTCACCCATATTTAGTGCATATTGCAATTATTTTAAAAAATCATTATCTTATTCCATTTCTCTTCCTGCTTACCCGCCGCCATCATTATTCTAGAGAGCCCTCCGTGATTATCTGAGGATATGCAGTCCATGATAAGTGCCATACTAGGGATGATGTTGATATTTAACAACAATCAATTTTCTTAAATAAATATGAGAGCTTAAAAAATAAGATAAGCCCTGGCCAGTTTGGCTAAGTGGTTAGAGCATCAGCCCGCAGTCCAGAGAGAACCGGGTTCAGTTTCCACCAAGTGCATGTACCTCAGTTTCAGTTTGTCCCCGGCCCTGGCTGGGATGTGTGGGTGGCAACCACTCAATGTGTCCCTTTCACATTGATATTTCTCTCTCTCTCTCTCCCTCCCACTCTATCTGAACAAAAGATGGTACAAAAAATGTAAGATAAGGTTTTCACTACATATTTTCCCCCTTGGATTACACTTTAGTAGGCACAATCCAGCAATTCTGAAGTCCCATATCTATCCTGCATTCCCCAAATACTTGTAGAAATTCAGAAAAGAAAAGGTTGACAAATATTCTAGTTCACCTGTAAAATTAACACACAGTGCTTCTCAGCACAGATACTCAAAGGAACTTCAAAAAAAGAAAGAATGTTTCTGAGGCCAGCCACTTATCCCAGTAATCTAATTGAAGTCATTAACAAGTTAAAGACAAGTCAATCACTAAAAGAGTTTTTCAACCATGCCATGAGTGAAAAAAGAATCACTGAAGCCATAGTTGGTAGCTAAAAGCCGTGAGAGTGTGCTCTTTCTCAAGAACTTTACCTACCCATGTGGTAGAGTCTAATGTGCCCCAAACAGGGCCAGGAACATATTATGATCTAATAATAATTTGTTTAAAATATAACTGAATGAATGATTGACTAAAATATCTGAATGACAAGGTCTTTGTGGAGTAGGATGTATTATCAGGCTATCAAATATTATAACTATATGTCTGATTCCTTTAAATCTGACTTTTCTGACATTTGGCATTTGATATAAATGATGAGAGGACCTTGGTGTCCTCAATTCCACTATAAATGGTGACACTGACATCCTGATTTTAAATATCAGTCTCTGACTTCAGTTCTTGTAGAGTGCTGACAAGTCAGGTTTCTGAGTCTGTAGGCCTGGGCCAGATCTTGGACACCAACAAATTCACCAATATGTTGCTAATGGGGGTAGAGTAAAGGGTTCTGGATGCCAATTAGCCTTACCCAAGAGACATTATTCTATCTGATCATGTGTCCTTTTCATATTTCTACTGCTGTACTTTTTGTAAAAAATCAACACTAATGCCTAAGATTCCATTATTTCTCCCCATGCAGACATTTTTTTTTTTTTAATTTTTAAAATTGATGTTAGAGAGAGAGGAAGGGAGAGGGAGAGAGATATAGAAACATCAATGACAGGGAACATCGATTAGCTGCCTCCTGCATGCCCCTCACTGGGGATCGGGCCCACAACATGGGCATGTGCCATGATTGGGAATTGAATTGGCAACCTCTTGGTGCATGGGTCAATGCTTAACCACTGGGCCACACCAGCTGGGCCAGCCAATTATTTTTAAAATCTTATCTTGATAAACAATTCTTCCTGAGATTGATCCGTGCCTCTTGAGATTTCAGTCAAATTTGCCATCAAAAGTCTTCCATGTGGCTTTCCTTAACTGCTAATGGTTCCCTCTTTTATGGTTCCAAGCATTTCTTTATCCTGCTTACGATATTAATATTAACAAAAGAGGAAGTGTTTAGGTTGAATTTTAAGCTTTAGAATCAGTGAAAATATTCATGCCATGTTCTCCCTGACCTCTAGGAACCACATTCTCACATAGCTCCTCAGAACACACCGGTCATCAAAAGCTCACTGTATGCCAAATTCTTTGTCCTTTGAGAGCAACAGAAAATAAATGATGTCTATGAATAATATTACAAGACTAGAAGGCTATTAACAGATGAGCCTTCTGGATACAACTATATATTCAATAGTGGGGAGAGTTCTAGTTTGGAAGCCTCAGCTCTGCATTTATATGCTGTGTAATCCTGCACAAGTCACTTAAACTTCCTAAGTCTCCATCTCTTTATTTGAAAAATGGGAAAAAATTAATTGTTTTCCTACCTTCACTCACAGGATGGAATGAAGGATCAAACGAACTAATGGATGTGGAATTGCTTTGTAAATGTTAAAGTGTTATTCATTTGTTGACTCACTATAACTGCTATCATCATCATCATTGCTATCATCATCATCATCAATCTACTATGGTTAAGGAGAAAAGATACTGTTGTATAAATGACTGCTAACTTAAGGTTCCATTCCGCTCAGAAGAAAACTGTTCATGGGATACAGTTAGTGCTATTGCCACTCTCAGTAACACCATGATTGCTACTTACAGAGTAGCCTTCCACAGAGCAAAAGGAATCAGGTGCTGTGACCCCTGAATTGCTGGGTATTAAATCTTTCCCATTATCTTCCCAGGGAACAAAATGTGTTGCTGCAGCTGGAAAGAAACAATCTGACTTGAAGCCAGATCATATGGGATTCGAGTTGCTGGAATCAGCTCCTCCAAAGGAAAATTTTTGAAGCTATGATAATACACCCTACCCTTTACTCCGTTTATTTGGATATGAATTTGAACTCCACATTCAGAAAGCTCTTCTGTCACTTTTTGTCAAAGATTTCATTTTGAGTTGCTTGAAATATCTATTTAAAAATTAGCCTAAAGCGGTGTCTTTTGAATAACAGCTCGCTAACTCAGGTACTGGAGCACTGTGAGTGTACACCACCAGCCTGCAAAATGAATAAACTACTCAAAAGACATTTTCCACTTCTTAAATACAATTCCAAGAAAGAATAGAAAATGCCTCATATCTCTAATGGAAGCCGTTTGGTACAAAAACAAATCATTCAGGTCCGTGGAGCTAGAAATGGCTTTTGCAAATAAAAATGAAAGGAAGAGACAGCAAAACAGCAAAACAGAAGTCATGAAGTCATCACCCACAAAGCATATTATTCACATAAAAATGAAACAATCATTTGAAAAATGGGCTACCCACACACCCAACAGCAGTTGTTAGTTTATGTATAAAAGAAAACAACCTTAATTTTGTATAAATTTAAAAGAAAATGGACTATTTGTTCTGTTAGTAGCTAATGTAAATATCAGAACAAATTGCATTTTTGTTCAAATAAAATCATAGATTTTAAATGCTCATATATAAAACTTGACACCAAAATGTACACATCTTACAATATTGGAAGATGAGCCCCAAATGAGGTGCTTAATACATTTGTTTTTTATTGAAGAGATGAGGTATAATTGTATACAATCATCTTGCAGCTAGGAATGATATTAAGAACACTGAACTAAAAAGTACTAAATCAAACTGAGTCATCTCTTATTTTCCTCTTTCATATTTGTCATTACTTCCTGAAGTTCTCATTAGAACTGCATAATTCTACCCTCATCCCAAAGCCCATAGATTTTCTTCAGAAAAGTAGGGTAGCTTTCCCCTTCTCCTTTCCCTCAGAACCAGTTTTCTCCCCATAAATGTTCATGGGGTGAGACTCATAGGCAAATTATTTCAATGAGCAATAATACCTTTTTGCATAAGACAACCAAGCTATTGCTGTTTTGCCTTTTTACAAACATTTAGCATATCTTTAAAACTTGTTTTCTTTTTGTGTTGTTTTTCTGTCACTTGAGAAAAGAGAACCTATTCTAGAAAAAAAGTTAATGGGAAAATGTGCTACATTGTGATATTAAATACAGTCCTCCATCATTCAGTCCTAACAAAGACATAACATTGTTGGCTAATGGGCTGTCCACAAATGACCATTATTGAATGAATGATAAAAGAATAACAGCGATGCAATTTCCACTTACATCAACCACAAAAGTCTTCTGGGAATCATCCAAAAACTGCACTTTTAGATGTAGCATTCTCGGAGAGGTTGCTGTGCTGCAAGCAGGCTCAGAGTGCTGTGGGTGCTGTGACAGGAAGGGGGTTTTCTTAAGGAATCTCACTCTCAGCTGGATGCAGCACTCGGCCTCCGCCAAGGCACCTCACCCTCAGCAAGGCACACTTCTGTTTGCTTGAAGTGATACACACCCAAGAGTGTTTGTGCTGCTGAGTGTTGGTGATCAGTAGCATCTGGATAATCTCCTATTTGGTCAATGTTAAATTCAACTGAATTCTCTGTAGTCCTCCTAAACTCACGTCCTTTCTTCAAAGAAAAATAAAAAGAAATAGAGAAAGCATTTGCAACTCCTGGGGATTTCTTTTATTTCACAACAGCACAATTAAAAAAAAACTAGATAAAGCTTTAATAAATGGAGACTAGTCCTTCTCAAAAGTAAAAGGACTAGGGTTAGTCTCACACTGTACTAGAAATTTCATGGCTGAACCAGGAATCTTTAATTAGAATCACTTTAATTGTTTTTGAATTTACATAATTTAGGAATGAAAACTTTATAAAAAGGAATATATAGAAAAGCCTCAATTCCAATTCTTGTCCCCTCTATTCTATGCCCCCATTGTACTCCATCAGTAACCAATTTTATTACTTTTTTGTCATTGTTATAGTAGCCTTCAGTGTTTCTGTATGCACGTTCTGTACAAGCAAATATGAATGTATTTCTCAGATGTAGGTAGCATGCAATTATATTGTATTGTGCCTTCCTTTTCTTACTTTACATGTCATTGTGATCTCTCTTTAGTTGTGCATGCAGAGTTTACTCATTTCTATTTTTTTATTTTTTATTTTATTTTTTTAATCCTCATCCGAGGACATTTTTCCATTTTTTTGTACAGACAGAGTGGGAGGGAGAGAGAGGAAGAGAGAGAGAGGGAAACATCGATGTGAAAGGGACACATCGAGTGGCTGCCACCCGCACGACCATCCAGGGCCGGGGACAAACTGCAACCGAGGTACGTGCCCTTAGCGGGAACCGAACCGGGGCCTCTCCGGACCGCAGGTGGATGCTCTAACCGCTGAGCCAAACCGGCCAGGGCGAGTTTACTCATTTCTTTGTACAGGTGCATAATTTTGCACTGTTGGTAATGCATAATTTACTCAAATAGTCCCCTATTGATGGACATGGTTTTTTCCAATCTTTTGCTATTATAAACAAGATTGACATGAATATCGTTGGATGTATCTCATTTAATATGTGTACAAGTATAGCTGCAGGATAAATTTCCAGAAGCAAAATCAGATTAAGAATAATATATTGGTAATTTTGATAGCTATTTCTAAATTTCCCTCCATAATGGTTGATATGGCCTCGAACAGGCCTTGAATTGTGCCCTCGAAAACTCATGTGTTGAAGTGCTAACCCCTAGATATTCAGAATGTTACGGCATTTGGAGACATAGTCTATAAAGAGGTAATTAAGTTGAAATTAAGTCATTAGGATGGGGTCTAATCCCATCTAACTGGTTTCCTTATAAGTAGATGAGATTAGAACACAGACATGCACCTAAGGAAGACCATTTGAAGACACAAGGAAGAGAAAATGGCCACCAACAATCCAAGGAGAGATGCCTCAGCAGAAATCAACCCTGCTGGCATCTTGATCTCAGACTTCTAGCCTCCATAATTGTAAGAAAATTAATTTCTGTTGTTTAAGCCACCCAGTCTGTGATACTTTGTTATGGATAACCTACAAACCAATACAAGCGTTGTGCCAATTTGCAGTTCCACCAATAATGCATAAGAGTGCCTATTTTCTCTAAGCTTACCAACAGAGTGTGATGCAAATATTTTTATTTTTGCCAAATTGAGAAGTGAAACAAAGAATCTCAGAGTAGCCATAGCTAGTGTGGCTCAGTTGCTTGGAGCATTGTCCTCTACACCAAGAGGTGGTGGGTTTAAATTTTGGTCAGGGCACATACCCAGGTTGTGGGTTTGATTCCCAGTCAGGGAGCATGTGGGAGGCAGCTGATTGATATTTTATCTATTATTAAAGAATTTGAGAGTCTTTTCAAGACATTTTAGGGTCATTTAGATTTCTTTTTTTCTGAACTATCTGTTCATGTAGTTCATATTCCCTTTTAAAAATATTGGTCATTAAACATCATTTCATGGCTTGTTGGCCATCTACTTATGTCTTATTTTGGAAAATGTCTATTCAGATCTTTTGCCATTTTTTAATCAGGTTGATTGTTTTGTTTTTGTTGAGGTGAGTACTTTATATGTTTTGAATATAATGCTCTATTGCATGTATGCTTTACAATTATCTTTTCCATTCAGTATGTTTTCTTATTGTTTTGATGATAAATTTCTCCACTGTGAAGAAGCTTTTTAGTTTGCTGTAGTCCCATTTGTTTATTTTTGTTTTTGTTTCCTTTGCCTTTGGAGTCATACTATAAAAGTATACTAAGACCAGTGTCTAGGAGTTGACCACTTATGTTTCCTTCTAGGAAATTTAAGGATTTAGGTCCTACATTCAAGTCCTTAATCCATTTTGAGTAAATTTCGGTGTATTATAAAGCAAATCAAAACCACAATGAGATATCACATCACACCTGTTAGAATAGCGATTAACAAAAACACAAGAAATAAGAAGTGTTGTAGAGAATGTAGAGAGAAGGGCACCCATATACATTCTTAGTGGGAATATAAATTAGTGCGCTATGAAACAACATAAAATTTTCCTTGAAAATTTGAGAATAAATCTACCATATGATCCAGCTATTCCACTTATGGGTATTTATCTGAATAATACAAAAACACTAATTTAAAAAAATATATATGAATTGAAAAAATGGCGGCGGAGTGAACGGAGCTACACAGACCGTCTCCCAGAACCAAACTGGAATTACAACTATAACACAGACAAATCGAGGGGAAAAACCAACAGAAAAGCAGCTTGCGAGGACCATACAACGAGGGACACTGACTCCATCCCGGTAGGCTTGCGAAGGCATGAGTCGGGGCTGGGAGCCCACGGTCAGCAGCTCAGCAGCAGCCTTAGCTGGGAGCTGCGCCCTCGGGATACACTCCCAGGTGCTCCACAGCGCAGAGCCGGGACAGAGGCAGAAGCAGCCACAGCCACTCACCTTGGGCTCCGGCAGAGGAAGGGCGGACTGGACTGAAACTGTGTTGGGACACTCGGGTTTGGAGGGCGTTCAGAGCTTTGGCTGAGTGCAGCCACTCAGGACGGTGGCCAAATTGTTCCTTCCCAGGGCTCTGAGGAGAGGCAGCAGCCCCTCCCTTGGAGATCCAACCCCACCCTGTGAAAGCCCCTTGGCTGAGCACCAGACGGAGTTTATCAATCAACTGACAACCCAAAACTGATCAATTAACCTAGACTACTACCCTCCAGGCAAAAAGCTAGAGGATAACAGTACCTTTCCTGGGCTGGCAACTTTAACCAGGAAAGTAAGACTTGACAGTGGTGTTCAACGTGGGTCCTCCCTCGCTCATCTAAACACAGGAGAGGGAGCCACAAACAGCAGAACACCAACACCCACAGGGAGAACTTGACAGGCTCCAAAGCCCACAGTGATAGCCAAAATGGTGAAACACAGAAACAGAAGCCAAATGAAAGAGCAAGACACCTCCACCGAAGATGAGATCAATGTGGAGCAATTAGGCATGTTAACAGAGCTAGAATTCAGAGCCATGATCTTGAGGAAGCTGAACAGCATAAGTAAGGACATAGAGACACTGAAAATAAGCCAATTGGAAATTAAAAACCAACATGAAGAGATAAAAAATGACATATCAGAAACGAAAAACACGTTGGAAGGTTTAAAAACCAGAGTAGAGGAAGCTGAGGACCGGATCAGTGAATTAGAAGACAGGGTAGAAAAAATCAACCAATCAGAAAAACAACAGGAAAAAACTATTAAAAAACAGGAAGACAGCTTAAGAGAACTATGGGGCAACTGGAAACATAATAATATTCGGATCATAGGAGTCCCCGAAGAAGAAGAAAAGGAGCAAGGGATAGAGAATATATTCAAAAAAATAGTGAGAGAAAACTTCCCTAATTTGGTGAAGGAAGAAGGCATTCAAGTTCAAGAAGCACAGAGAGTCCCAAGTAAGAAGAACCCAAACAGGCCCACACCAAGACACATAGTAATTAAAATGCCACAAATTAAAGACAAAGAGAGAATCCTAAAAGCAGCAAGAGAAAAGCAACAGGTTACCTACAAAGGGAACCCCATAAGGCTCTCAGCTGACTTCTCACAAGAAACACTACAGGCCAGAAGAGAATGGCATGAAGTAATCAAAATCATGAAAAACAAGAATCTGAATCCACGACTACTCTACCCAGCAAGGCTATCATTCAAAATAGAAGATCAAATAAAGAGCTTCCCAGACCAAAAAAGGCTAAGGAAATAGATTACCACCAAACCAGCACTGCAAGAAATGTTAAAAGGGCTGCTGTAATTAGCAGTAGAAATGGGAAGAAAAAGAGAACCACACTAAACAAAAATGGCAATAAATAAGTATATATCTATAATCACCTTAAACGTAAATGGATTGAATGCTCCCATAAAGAGACACAGAGTAGCTGATTAGATAAGAAAGCATGACTCATCTATATGTTGTTTACAAGAGACCCACCTCTCAACAAAAGACTCACATAGGTTGAAAGTGAAGGGATGGAAAAAACTTTTCCAAGCAAATGGTAAGCAAAAAAAAGCTGGGGTAGCAATTCTCATATCTGACAAAATAGATTTCAAAATGAAGACCATAACTAGAGACAAAGAAGGCCACTATATAATATTGAAAGGATATATCCAACAGGAAGATATAACCTTGATAAACATATATACACCCAATATAGGAGCACCAAAATATATTAAAAATCTTCTGGAGAACTTACAAGGAGAAATCAACAACAATACAATCATAGCAGGGGACTTCAACAACCCATTAACAGCACTGGATAGATCCTCTAGGCAAAAATTAGCACAGAAAAAGAGA